TTCCTGACACTTACGTGAACACCAAGCGCAGCATATCCTGCAGCATGGAATAGCCTGGTGGCAGCAGGAGACGCTTGGAGTCGCATATGGTGCGCAGTATGCAGGACTTGACATCGAAGCCAAAGCTGAAAAGTTCAGTTTAGTATATGGAGGTCAACAGCTACACTCACTACGCACCGTGAACTGAGTCCACTGAAGTGCTCGAAGAGCTGCCGCCGATCGCGATGACCATGGAAATGGGGAGATTCAGCAATTGCTCGTGGAGTAGGTCTACTCCACCGACTTGTCCAGGCAGCTGTCCATTTGGGCGCAGGAGTTGTCCACTTTGCCCACTTACGATTGTTGCTCAGTGTTGCGGCAGAGCTCTGCCACTTTTGAGCCTGGCTTGAGCCATATTTTGCCCAGTGCTGCCAATTGTGAGGATTGGTGTAGCTATCCAGATCGATGCGGTGCGTCCTTGACGGCTGTGGCCTGGGCCTAAATGCCTGAGCCTTGGAGCGCCAGTCTGTGTCGGGTATGTAAACATAGGACTTTTTGTTGCTCGTCAGGGGATGTGCTGCTGTTGGCTTCTTTGACCGAAAACGTTGTGGGAAGAGGTCGTCCGTTTTGCCAGGAAGGGGAAAGTAGACCGCCTCCTCCAGAGCAAATGAAACGCCTTGTGGATAGGCCGAGACCAAACCAGTGCCAAAATTACAAGTGAACTTGAGAAACGAGCCTGGCGGAAAGATTACTGCACGCTTCCTGCGACTGAATACCCGGTCGTAGGTCGATCGCAATCGTGTCTGTCGAGTCCTGCTCTCGCCATGACACCAATTGATCAGCAGCAAAAGCACAAAGAGCTGTGTGAACAACATTTAAGACCGAACGAGAGAACAGAACGAAATGACTGCAAAGAATCATTTTCATATAGATTAAGTACTAGCTGTGAACAGATTAACTAAATATTTACTCTGTGTTGATTGATGACTTTATTTGTTGTACATCTACGTAAGCGGAAACCAGAGATATCCCAGAGGTCCAATTTTGGGGCAATCATGTGAGAGATTCATTTAGTTGATGTATCTGTCTCAAGCCGAGCAGTTCGTAGAGAAATGAAATTCAATCGGGTCCTATACCAAGTGCTTGGCCTGCTTTTTGGCTGCACAGCAACAAGCTGTTTATTGTATCCGGCATCATCTTCACTGGGTGTAAGCAGCTGTGATTGCATTTTCCCGAAGACTTCGACTCTAAAAAGTGTCCTTTATTTAGCTCACTTCCTCAGTTTCAGTACCGGTTACTGAGTTCTATCCGGAACGGCGTATACTCGTCGATTGGTGCTTCGCCATTTCCTATAACCTGCCCTTCAACTTGAGCTCCTTCTACAGCATTCCCATTTGGCCAGGCTTCGCCAACTACCACACCAAGCGCGAGGTTCCGCGCACGCTGCCCAATGAACTACAGCTCTATGAGAAATATGGCTACAATGCCTTGACGCAAATACATCCCAAGGACTTATCAGCTGGGCAGCTGTATAGCAGCATCGAGGATGCCCTAGCTTCCTATGGCTTACACGAAACGTGCCTGCTGCGAACTGTGTGCGAGCTGGCCAGGCATCCCTTTGACGATGAGTATCCGCACATATTGAGCGACATCCTGACATTTGTCTTCAGGTAGGACTTTGACTTTCACATACAGACTAATATAGACTAATAAACCTTTTTATTTCCGGGCAGCCCCTCGCAGCATCAGGGATTCCTGGAGAGCGAACATGTGTACAGGCAGGTCTATGAACAGGCTGAACTTGACGGCTTCCTGGGCAAAGACTGCGCCCATATCTATAGGCATTGCAAACACGATATCTTGAAGTCTATTAGCAATGTCGTTTTTCATAATAATTGAAGAAGTAAACAAATGATGTACACTGTAACGTCAATGCGTTTCATTAGCAACTTCTCTAGGTGCCAGCGACAGTCGTTCTCTTTCTCTCCGTCGCCTCACAACGAAATGGATCTTTCTACGGTGAACTTCATAATCGCACTGCTGGCGACACTGCTCGAATGCCAGGCCAAAATGCCTTTGTTCTTTCCGGCCGCTTCAGTGTATCAGATAACGGCGGCTCTATCAGTTCCGGTCGTGCTGCCGCCACGTAAAATATTTTGGGACTGGGGCGTGCAAGTCAACTATGAACTGCCTAGCAATCCGGCGAAGTTTTATGCAGCTCAAATCTGGGAAGATCAGTTTGCGCGTCGCGCTAAGCGGCACCTGCACAATGAGACCCAAAAGTATATGCCGGCTGCTTGGACGAATATGCATCCGAATGATCTGACTGCCGGCGAGCTCTACGAGAGCATCGAGAATATGCTAGTCCGCTATGGTTTCGATGAGACCTGCTTGCTGCGAAGCGTCTGCGAACTGGCTCGACATCCGTTCCACGACAATGAGCAGAACATGTTGACGGCCCTGCTTACCTTCACACTTACGTATGTAGTCCCTGTGCAGCTGGGTTATAGCTATCCCTAACTGTTTAACTATTCCATCAGTCCATCTCTGCATGCGGCCTTTGCACCCAGCGAAACGATATACCGCCAGATCTATGAGCATGCCGAACAGCAGGGATTCTTGGGCGCAGACTGCGCCCAACTATATGCCCAGTGTCCAGTTGACTTCCTAAGCGCCATCAGCAAACTCATTAATTGAAACGAACTCTTAAATTTGAATTTATAAAATCGCTCTCAGATGTCGCCATAATAATAAAATATTACACGCTCTTTAATATTTTTATAGCATTTTTATACACAAAGCTATACAATGGGCTCTTACCACATATGTAATAAAAGTGGGCATAATTAAATATGTGCAAATATGTATAAACATATATGTATGTATGTATATGTATATATGCTTGCATAAAAGCGATGTAGGCTTGGCTGCCTTCGATTTAATCAAATATTTTTATTTATTATTGGGCTGAGCAGCGGACTTGTATTATTCAGATCAAGCTGGATTTTTATTGATGGAATGGAAATGCTGTGTATATTCTTAGGCTGTGCTAAGATATTATATGTAACGGCGAATAAAATATGGCTTACCCCATAAAGTATACAAATATATATTGATGATCGAAGCATCGAGCACAGCTCTGCCCGTTGATCCGACTACCTAAAAACCTACATAGAAGACATACAGATTTCGATGTATACCTAGGTACTATTATTATATCTATATGTACCTCTTCTCCAATAGCATGTTAACAAACTCTATAAAACCAAATACCACATTTACAACTTTACAATATTTTAAATGATTAAATTAAAAACCGTTTCAGAAATATTTAGAAATAAATAAAAGTGAAATACGCTCTAGAGCTTTTAATTAATTAAAATTCTTTTTGATAACATTAAACAAGAAGAAGGCTCTAGTCGAGGCTGCTCGACTAGGAGATACCCTGAACCCTACAAGCTGACATTCTAATCATTCTGCACTTCTTTATGCACACATATGTACATACATTACAACTTTACAACCTTCTGCCTGTTACATACTTTTAACAAAACCATTATACCCTGATATCCCATTTTCTATGGGCTCAGGAAATACAAATTTTAAATGATTAAACATTCGAACTATTATTGCTTATTATCAGTAAAAAATATTAACTCTATTTTAACCTGATTACGACAAGCAGCTTTATGCAATTAGGTATTAATTAAAGTGGTTGGCGGAGAGTCTGGAGTTAGTTCAACCGCATAATCCTCTCATCGGAAAATAAGCACTAAAGTCCCCATTTTCACATGATTTAAATAACTTTATGGATTATAGGTTTAGCTTTATTTCATCTAACTAGCTTGGTCATGATGCTCAGCAAATCCAGTTCACATTTGGGATACGCTTTTTGGCAGTCGCCGCCCATGAAGCCCAATTTCTCTGCGCGCTCATAGCGATATCTATATTGCTTTTCGTTGGGCCCGAATCCATCGTGCTGCGAGGGTCTATGGGATGTAAATAAATTATGTTAGTCTATATATTTTATATATTCTCCTGGGTGTATTACACTTACGTTAGCACAAAGTTGATAATCTGAACAAACAGATTCTGGCTGTAGCCRTGATCWTCCGCCATGGGATGCAGGGCCAATTCGCAGACGCTGCGTAGCAGGCAGGATCTGTGGAAGCCGTAGTCCGGTAGGAGGCGCTCTATGCCCGCATATAGCTCGCCGGCAGTGAAGTCCCTTGGATGGATGCCACTCTCAGCGACGAATACCTCGTTGGCTGCACTCGTAAAGTTATACAAATCACGCCTGCGGCGTCGCTCGTAYGCATTGGGCCAAATAGTTGGATTGTAGAATGAGACGAGGTCGAAGGGCAGATTGTAGTTCATTTGAAAGCCCAGATCCATGAAAACCCTGCGATTGGGCAAATCAATTGGCACCGACATCGACGAGGTCAGCTGCAGCACCGTGATGGGGGGGAAAAGGAATAGACCACATGTCCCAGTGATGAAGCACAGGCCGATGCTTATCGAAACGAGGATCGATTTCCAGTTGTGCTGCCTTGGCCGACGCATTTCGATGTGATTGATATGCTTGCCATAGCCCGGAGCGCATGATATATGTGAAGTGGCTTTTGGGTCAATTCGTTTATTTGGGTCTTCAATTAACCAAACTGTTAATGAGTAAAACATTTGCTATGCGTGCGTACAAATTAGAACGGTAAAACCTACAGAAACTGGGACGTAGTCCTCTCTATGTGTCTGTGCCCAAGAGCTCTCAGACGAAAAACAATAAAAGCGTGCCGCATATTTCTCAGTTAAATTCAAAATTGTGCACACCGAACTGTTAATACACTGAAATTACAGATTTATAAGAAAGCCTGAAACTGAAAGTAAATAGAATCTTATCCATACGATTATATGAAGAGATCGATTTTATTGTATTGAATATACTCCGAGGCAGGTGGATTGATTTAGTCTTCTCTCATTTTATTTATATTAATTGTTATTCATCTCATTTGAACCACAGAAGGTCTCTATCTCTTTCATCATAATTTTCTTTTATTTATTTTTAGTAATTAAGCAAAAATAATAATAAAAACAAAAACAAATGAGTATTTATATAGTATGCAATACATACTATGTATATATTCCTTATAGTTAATCCTAATCAAGAATACCATATACCATATTCCAGAGGGCTTAATAAAATCGTGGTACTCGAAACTGGCATTCCCTAATGGGTTCAGGGTATTAAACAAAGCTTCATGTCTTTTCTTAATATTCTGTATAGCTAAGCTGTAAATTTTTTAAATAAATAAATGTTGCGTGTCTTCTGGTTCCGTCTGCACAATTGCTTAGCTTGGTATAACGAACGCATTAGTAAGCTAAACGTCCAAATGACAACAAGATGAGTCTAAGACAAGAGCAGAGAATTCTCAGCGTGCTGCTGCTGCTGGCTATTGGGGAACTCGCAGCTGCGCATACGAGCAGCTTCGAGCCAGGCTTTGGCTCTGGTCTCACATCTGGGTCCGCAAATCTGAGTCAAATAAGTCCGAGCGTTAAACTAAGTCGAGCCAAGCGTGTTGCCATCTACAATGGCCAGGGTGTAGTTAAGGTATGTAATTATTGCAATTCAATTTACTTAAATATTAAGTGTTAATTGATCGATTTTTACAGTTCGTTGTCAGTATTGCACATCCTGTGAAGCAGGTGGAAAAGGAGCAGTCGTTCTGGTTCTTTTACAACTTGCAAAGCCAGTACATTCCCACCACAGTACCCATCTTTTGGTGGAGCTTTTGGAACACCACAACCTTTGTCTCCACAGCCCGTCAACTGCGCAAGAACATGCAAGCCACTCTGCATCGGGATGATACGCGCAGCTGGGTCTACGATGTCATTGAGACCGGCATGGCAGCGTAAGTGTTCCTGAACTGAGTTCTTCAATGCCTCATAATCATGGCTGAATTTCAATTTCAGGCTGGATGGCAGTGAGCGTGGCGCCAATTGCTTGCTGCGCAGCATCTGCGAGATCTCTCAATTGCCCTTTGAGAATAGCAACATATTCAGCGAGATCGCCAACGCAATACTTATGTGAGTAACTGAAAGCTTTAGATTCGTTCCGATACCYCATAGCATCTATCTTTGCAGACCCACGGCAGATAATGTTGCTGAAAAGTATATTAATGCCAGAGATGCGGGTCGCGCCGGTGCCGATTGCCACAGGACTTACAAGGACTGCAGCCGAAAAACCTGGAATTGGTTAACGAACTTTAATAAACTAAATTTCTGAGACCAAAATTGAAATAAACTATAACAATTGAAAACAGATCTAATGACGACCTAAAACTTAGCTAGTTTTAATATCAATAAATTTATATAAAATCGACGGAGTGATACTGTGATAATCACATCTGTGTTATCACAGAGCTGTTTCAATCAGTCCTAGTCTGATTTTGTACAGTCTCATTGAATCTATAATTTAGATAAAAGTCGCCTTGAAACAAACAAAAATTCATTATCAGACCGCTTAATAAAAATTTTCATCGTTTTCGGTTGCGAGAAAGAGATTATAGTCTAAATTCAATAAATATTACACATACAATATATAGTTATACCATTTAGAAGTGCTTAAGAATGAGGGCACATATAAAGCAAACTTTTCAGTTCGCCATGATTCATGCTCCATATACGCATATCTAAATATATATATAAATAATATTGACAAGAATAGATAGCTTCCCCGTTGGGCAGTCAATTAAAATATATTTTCGGCTTAGTCAAAATTTTAATAATGTACCATTTATATTGATTTTGATTAGATAATGGGCTAACGGCAAGACTAGGCGATTGCTGTGCGCGTCGAACCGGGAAATTGTCACAAATCTTAACTATTAGCTATTAACACAATTCAATCTGACTATTYGATTTACCAGGCTTGCAGCAKTATGGGAGCTCGCCCTCTATCTGGCCGTCTTCCTCAAGCTGCGACGTCTCCACTCAGCCCATGCCTCGCAGAGCATCGGCTTCTGCCAACAAATGCACTCGCTCAGCGGCAGTGCACCAGGCTTGATACGCGTGCACTCGGAGAAAGCCGGATATGGCGTCAATGGCTTGCTGCAGTTGAGAGGACGCCTGACTTTCACGCAATCTGGCGGAATGCGGCCGGCTCTGTGGCAGCGACGCTTGAAGCGTGGGCAGTCCAGGGGGATTTTATCGCAGGTGACGGGCTGTGGGCATGCGGTCTTCGGTTTGGGGGTGGTGCGACGACGCAGCGGAGCCGCCTTCACGTCTTTGAAGCAGCATATCTTCTTCGGCTTTATCGCAACTGGCGGGCACGCGACCCAGGTTTGCCAATACTTGCGATTCGCCTTATCAGACTCAACGTAGTATATATCATCGAATCGTGGATTGAATGGACAGTGTGGCTCGTCTTCGTCACAAAATGGATTTAGCCATATGGATGGCTCCTTGGGCTGCTTTTTTTCGTTTACCTTCGGCTTTTTCCTTAGCATATTTTCCGGATCACCGCAGGGAGAAGGTTTCGGTTTTTTAATCTTAGCTCCATCGCACTTTCCACTCTTCTTTGACTTCATGCGTAGAGCAGGCAGAATGGGCAACTTTGCCAAACTACGTAAAGCTGAGCGATTCCATAATGAGTGAAGGGGTAGCATTTTTAATTTCAAAAACAATTTTATTTGTGAAACAGTTCCAACTTATTAAAAAATTACAAAATTTTGATATAATTTAAAAAAAAAGAAAAGGAAAATTTCGAAAATAACCGAAACGGAGAACTGTTTTCTAGTTTTGCAATTTGTACACTGAACCCCCAGCCCTAAATATTTTCTCTATTTCGGTTTTAGATGCCTTCTCGGTTCCAATGCCTACTCAGTCTTTCGACTAGCGCTCACATTCATTGTGAGGAAGTCAAGCACTCTATATGGACAGGAAACCGCATAGAAACGGGCGCAGTCCAGAACATTCTCTCGATGCTGATACTTATCCTCAGCGACATCATCGGGCAAACTGAAAATAACTGAATAGAATGCAAATATCATCTTGTCGTAGCCCACCTACGTTAAAATGATGCGTAAGAGATCCTCCATTAGTAATCCACTGCCATGATGCTCATTAAATCTCTCCCGAAGCTCGCACATTGATCGCTTTATGCAGGATCTTATATCTAATCGAAAGCTGAAATGAAACACATTTGGCTATACGGTTGAAAGGCATCGAAAATAACTATTTTCTTACTATTTTCCCATTGTCTCGAATTGATCAAAGATTTCTCGTCTCTCTCTGTAATCACGATTTAGTTTCCACCTGGGCACATCCGCCCAAGATTTGTATACCTCCTGCTCCAAATTTCCCCGTTGATGTCGTTGCCAGGGCTCTTCAGTCAATTGCCAAGGCCTTTTATAGAAATATTCCTTGTGTGTTTCAGATTTCATATAGCTGCATATATGTATAATTCATTGAATTTAACCAATCAACTAAGAGTCAGCATGAAATTACTTGGCATAGTGTTCTGGCTGGTAAGGGCCTCTATAGAATAAATGGGGCTTACGATGAACATTCCTGTATCGTGTGCCATTGCGCCTATAATCGTTCCAATTCCAGTCCCAGCGATGCATCGGCTTTGCGCCTGTTGCTTTGTTATGATTCTCATGATCGAGTATTTTTGGTCGCCAGCCATCCACAGTATCCGGCAGATCTACATACATATCGAACTCTACGCTGTATTGTAATCCACTTGGCCGTCCGCCCACAATTATTTTGGTCATCGCTGGCGTTATCAACACTGTGGAGCCTTTGGGAAAGACGACAGCCCGAGCGCGTCGCGAAAGTAAGCCATTCGGGCGACCAAGCCACTCTGTATGATTTCCGATAGTCGCCTCCACAACATATCCAACTATTATGACAACTCGAATAACTAGCATATAGCTCATACTGAAGCACTCAACATGTAAATCCAAACTGCGCAACCCGCTCCAGTTGACCATTTGACTTCGCACTAGAGAAGAGCAAACTTTGACGTTGTAAGAAACCCAAAGACACGACCAATAAGGTGTTTCCCATATCTCAATAGATGTGTGCTGAACCCAAATCTTGTAATTATCACCCATTTTTCACAGAGAGTGGTGAATCTTACAGATTTAATTGTGAATTGTAAGCTAAATCTTTCATAAAGCCATGAACCCAATGTCAATGGTAAATAAATAAAATTAAAAATGTTAACGAAATAAACAGATCAATAACAAAATAAAAAATAAAAATATGCATATAAACCAAAATC